TCCTGCTGATGGAATCTTCCAGACCTACATTTTCTGTCTCATGTCTATAGGCTGTGCCTTGGGACAAAGTCAAGCCATCGACAAGTTTCTCAAGGAACTGAGTTGGTGCTCGACATGGCCTGTTTTCCAACGTGTAAGCAGTTTCAGCACCCGGCTGGTTCCTCCTGACTCCCCCGTGGTCACCGTCCAGAAGCCCCAGCCCACGTGCACCCAGCAGCCCTGCGGACCCCGCCCTGCCGTCTGCTGCCTGCCTTGCCCCCTTCGATGACCATTTCTATTTCCTCTGTCTTCGAACCCTGTCTTCCTCTTGACACCTCGTCAGTAAGGACGGGACCTGCTTGTCAGGCGTGCCTGGTGCTTCTGTGCGTGCGGGGCGGGGGTGGCCACAGCCTGGCAGTTCTGCCTGGCTTCCCCCGGGTTCTGAGCTCCAGCTCCCAGCCTCTGTGACATCATGTAGACAGAGCCAATCTCTAGAAAGTTCCAACTTAGCCCTTGGAAGTTCTGTCCGAGCTGACCATGAGCACGTGAAGCCCTAAAGCTCAGGTCCTGGGTGAGGGTGGAGTGCTCTGACACCGTTTGGGAACCGCTTGCTGTCTGACAAGCCAGCCTGGAGGGTCACATGCCAGTCGCACAGGGCGTGTTTGATGCCTTAGGAGGTAAGCGTGGCCTGGGTGGCACGTGCTTGTCTGTGTGTTGCCTGCTTGTTGTCGGGTGTGTCCCACAAGAGGCTGGACAGCCTGGGCTCTGGTCCCTGCTCTGTTTGACTTAAAGGAACATGACTGAGTTCCTTGGAAACAAAAGCTGAACAACTGAGTTGATTCCGACATGCGCCCAGTCCGCGGTGCTCACTGTCACCGTGGGCATCTGCACACCCCAGTGTGGGCACACTCGAGTTCTGTCTCAGACTTGAGCAAACCACTGTCCCATTTTGCGGGAAGTGTGCTGTGGTCAGCAGAGACAAGAGTCCCGGAGGCAGCAGGGAGAGCACTCCAGGCCTCCGCGCCTCGGCCCCAGGCTTTCTGCCCTTCCTCTCCTCCTGCGTTCAGCTTAATGCCAACGCTGGAGGGAGGAAGGGCTGTGGACCCCGTCACAGCTGGGTGTGACTTTGATCACTTGGGGCCTTAGGCTTTTCTGCCCGTGGAGTGCTGGCCTCACCTGGCTTAGCAGGTCCTCCAGGAGAGGAAAGGAGGGAGAGAGGAAGGAGAGAGTGATCTTTTGTCTATTGTTTATCCCCAGATGGCTGCAGCAGCCCGGGTTGAACCGAGCTGAGGGCAGGATCCAGGAGCTCCATCCGGGCCGTCCACATGGGCGGCAGGCACTCCGCGCTGGGCTGTTTCCTGCTGCCTAATTGGGTACAATAACAGGAAGCTGGACCACAATGAAGGAGCTTGTACTTGAATTTGCACTCTGATATGGCATGCCAGTGTTAGCAAATGCACTGCATCCTGGCACCAGCATCCCCTGAACATTCTATAGGTCCCCAGTGCCCAGTGTGTACTTATGTAGTATTTCAGGGGCTGGAATGAGCTAAGCCATTGCCTGAGGTGCTGGCATCCGACCTCAGAGTGCTTGTCAAGTCCCAGCTGTTCCACTTCTGATCGAGCTTCACGCTAATACTCCTGGAGGACAGCCGCTGACGGCGCGAGTATATGGCTCCCTGCCACCCACATGAGACAGTCGGATGGAATTCCTGGTGCCCTGCCACATCCTGGTCATGCCCTGGCTGTTAGGGCCGTTTGGGGGAGTGAACCCAGACTGAAGGTCTCTCTCTGTTTCTGTACCACTCTGCTTTTAAAACATATGCATGAATAAATTTTTAAAAAATGCTTTACTCTTGGAAAGTGTGCCCACCTAAATATGAATGTTGGGTCACATTAAGCTGATGTATGCATTGGCCTAGGGTGGTCCCAACAACGCGGACCTAAATAGTGGAAGTCTGCTGTCTAGCACAGACTGCAGAGGGCACTGACTCGCATCTTCTGAGCAAGAGCTGTTTATTACCTTTATTTTCTAGTCATTTCCAGAAAGAAGTGTGTGTGAGTGTTTGAAGATATTCAGCAAAGTGGCATATTGCCAGAGATGAGCTTTTGGGAGGGAGGATATGAAACGTGACTTTGAGATCTTCACTGTGAAAAATCTCACGATGCCTTTCTCTGTGTGTCTGTTGGAGCTGCAGGCGCTGGCGCACGCGTGGAATGTGAAATGCTCCCATGGGCCATTTGAGGCACATCAAAGAGAAAGATGAGACATGCCAGAGATGAAGGCCGGGGAGGCTGCGGGTACGGGTGCCCTGAGGGCAGTGTGCCGTTGCCATGATGCACGCTGGGGGCACCACGTGGGGGCTGGGGAGAGGGGCCAGGAAAGGACAGACCGGAGTGCTCTTGTGTGGCTGGCTGCCCCTGACTTGGACACAGACCGAGTGGAGCAGTGGGTAAAGCGAGGCTTTGTGACCAGTGTCCCGGCCATTCTGCCACAGCCCTGTTGCCTGCCAAGCCGGGCATGGTGCTGTGGGATTTGGGACCGATGTAGAAAGCTGCCCTGAGCACCTAGGAGTCCCAGCTCCTCCTGCGTGGCCACAATGGTCTTCCCCTGTGCCAGCACTGTCCTAGGAGCTCCCAGCTCCTTCCTAATGGCCACACTGGCCGGCACTGTCCTAGGAGCTCCCAGCTCCTTCCTAATGGCCACACTGGCCTTCCCCTGTGCCAGCACTGTTCTAGGAGCTCCCAGCTCCTTCCTAATGGCCACACTGGCCTTCCCATGTGCCAGCACTGTCCTAGGAGTCCTGTCTCCTTCCTGCGTGGCCACACTGACTAGTAACACAGTTCACTGCTCAGCTGTGGGGTAGACCCCTTATGTGATTTCTCGAAAATGCGTTTTCTTCCTTTGAAAGGCCTGCGTAGCGTCTGGTGGCAGAGTCTTGCGCAGTGTGAGAGCGTGGCAAGGTGCCTGCCCAGCGTCAGTGATGCAGCCATGTAGCACAGCGCTGGTAGGAGGATTTCCTGCCCAGAAAGCTTGTAGTGCAGCGAGGGAGCCAGCTTCAGGACACAAGCATAGGAGGAAATGGTGCCCGCTCATCCCTGTATTCGGCAGATGCTTTGTGGGCACCTAATGAGAACCAGGCAGGAGGGGCACTACAGCATCGAGTGTCACCTGTACAAAGTGGCGAGGCAGGACGCACCTGTGAGGTGATGAGGAGCGAGGCGCAGTCTGGCTGGAGGTGGGAGTGGGGGAAGCTGGGGATGTTCCCCCTGGATGAGGGAGTGGGTTTGGCCACTGGGAGGGGCCCAGCTTTTATTTTGAGCAGTCACGTTAGGACCCCAGGTGCCATGCTGAGAGGAGACTGGAGAGCAGTGGGCGGGATGATATATGTAATGTATGTGATACATATGTGACACGTATGTGAGATATGTGTGACATACACGAGAGGTGTGTGATATGCACGGACACACACGTGTGATGTGTGCATGAGATGTGATACATGTGTTTCATGTCTGTGTGTAGTATGTGCATGTGAGAGATATGTGTGTGTGAGAGAGAGGGAGAGACAGAGAGGAGAGAGACGTGTGGCTCTTGCTTAGGAGTGATTTTCGGCACCTGCAGGAATGGGTTCCCTTACTGTGTCTGCTCCAGTCTCATCACCCACCACAATCATCACCAGCGCTCAGCCAACCGTACTCGCACTCGGACCGCCTTTGAGAACTCCGGGTGTCTGTCACTTCAGGACCCTGCGCTGAGCTGGAGGCAGGCCGGGTGTGGGTGTGAGGCTGGAGGGGTGTGGAGGACTGCGGGCCTCTGCCGAGCAGCAAGAGCTCGGGCGAGGAGCACAGGCTGAGGTGGGGCAGTGTGGTTCGCACAGCTCAGCTCTGGGACTCCGAGGGGCCATGGTTCTGCCAATGCCTTGGGGTCCTAAGAGCCGGTGCTGGGCACCAAGCAGGGGACAGCCCAGCACCGAGAGCCAGGGGAGGGCCAGCCAAGGAGGACAGCAGGCAGCCTGGGGGTGCCGGTTCGCGGTCTGGAGGGGACAGTGTGTTTGTTCGCATCCCTGTTGGGGAAGGTGGTGTTGCTTACAGGGCCGCTGACTGCCCACGTCCACACTGCTCTGGAGATCTTTGGAAACTAAGGATGAAGTTTAAGGTGCTGTTGGGATTTTATTTCTTAAAAGAGATTTAAAATTTGAGTAAAAGGGAACATGACGGAGGATGAAGAGAGATGAAGTTATTTAGTTTCCATCTGCTGGGTCACTCCTGACGACAGCCATGTGCAGTCAGAATGAGGCCAGGAGCCTGGACCACCCAGGTCTCCCACATGGATACAGAGAGCCAAACGCTCTGGCCCATCTCTGCTGCTTTGCCACTCACATGATGAGGGAGCTGGAGTGGAGGAGGAACAGCCCTCGGATGCGGGATGCTGACATGACGGTAGCTCAGCCTGTGAACCGATGCTGGCCCCCACCGGGAGCTTTTATGTAGCTTCCTCTCATGAAAGGTAGGAAAGCACATGGTGGGAAAGACTGGCCCTGTCCGCTCTCTCTCCCGGGCTCTGCTTTCTCATAGGTACCGGCTTGCTGGGGGAAGCTCCCCATCTCAGGCACCATGGCAGCGCTGTGCTGAGTGCCCAGAGAGCTCTGTGCTGTGGGCTTTCCTTCTGGGCGCTCCTGAAGGCAGGTGTACTTCCCCCGGTCCGTGGCTGGCCTGCTACCTGCTGCCTCTTTTCTAAATTGAATAATAAAGCAGTAACGAAAAATAATAAAACTCAGTTTGCACTTTGTAATGGTAGGAGCTGTATTTCCAGTAACATTTTTTTCGTAATACTTGAGAAGGAGGCCCATCCTTTGGGCTGTTTATGAACGTCAGGGGCAGGACAGCCCTGGCGCGTGCAGCTGGCAGGTGTTCCGCCACTGCGTGACCCTTGCGTGTCTACGACCTTGTTTTCAGGAGCCTGGGCAGTGCCTCTCTCCCTCACGCGTCCCTGCTGCCTGCCTGCCCCCAGAGGTTGACTGAGTCCACTTGCCTGGCTTTAGGAAGCATGACGGACACGCCGAAGGAAGGCAAGCTGGCCAGGTTCCTGGACTTCACCCAGCTCGTCGACATGGCGTCGGAGGCCGTAGGAGGAAAGGTAGCGTCCTGCTCGGGGACGCCTGTTGGTGCGCCCTGAGGTCCACTCCCCGTGGAGGCAGCCTGCTGCGGTGGCGGGAGCCAGCTGTCAGGCTGCAGGAGTGGCCTGGCCGGGAGGCACACGAGCAGAGGCTGCTGAAGGATTCTTCCAGAACTGGTGGCGGTTCTGCAGGAGGGCAGCGGTGTCTGCTGCTTGTTTTATTTGCACACGTGTCGCGCTTTTGGGCAGGGTTCTGTCGTAGCCCCAAGGCACCAACACTGTCAGAGGAGGACCTTGGCCTCTGTGTTGGGGGGGCAGACATAGATCTCAGGCCAGTGCTGTGACGACGGTAAGAGCGGGGTGCCAGGTGGGAGCCATGGACCCCAGCGCGGTCCCTGTGGGCACTGGTTGGATGCAGGAGGCCTGGGAGAGGGAGGTGGGAGTGCTGTGGGCAAGGGGCAGGCAGGGCCTGTGCAGACAGACGGAGCCCGCGTGGGGGATCTGCCGTCATATAGGTGATGGCACGTGTGCCCATGTGTTGGGTGCATGGGGTCTGAGCTTCTGAAGCCAAGGGGTGCCCTCCCCCAACCCACACCCGAGATGCTCCCAGGGCAGGTCAACTCCACGCAGCAGTGACTCCCTGGCTGGCACTATCCGGGCTGTGCCCACCAGGGCCGCGTTGGTCACCGGGTCCTGGCTTAGGGGAAGTGAGGGACCACAGCTTGCTTTGCTCAAGAAAGTTGTGCCCACATTTGAGTTGACTTATTATTACTGTGATTATTGGTGTATAAACAACAGCACTGAATGTCATGCTGAGAAGTAGTCTGAGGGGACAAGTTCCCAGGACACCGTCCATGGGCCACACCACAGGGGGAAGCCACAGGTGGGACCCGGGCTGGGCTTTTCCTGCTCATTTTTGTTGCAGAAGAAACACCACTCCCAAGGTGCTTGGTTTGGGGAGGGCTTCTTTGCTCCCCAAGTGTAAGAAGTTCACAGGAGATGGGAAAGGGGCTTCCAATTAAAAGGGGGAGAAGGCCAGGGAGGGGGTGGACCCCAGGCCCCAGCTGTGTGAGAAGCTCCCTGGTGATGGCTTGCTGTGGCTGTGCGCTGTGGCTGTGCGCTGTGGCTGTGCGCTGTGGCTGTGTGCTGTGGCTGTGCGCTGTGGCGTTTCTGCCCTGCATCTCTTGAGATTTCACCAGGGAATAAAGTAACAGTTTTAAGTTTATGATCACTTTATCCTTCTTCCTGTCTTTCTTTGTCTAGGTTTTATTTGCAACTGACGATTTTTTTGCACCTGCAGAGAACCTCATAAAGGTATTGTACTTTGGCAGCCCGCCACCTACAAGGCAGGGGTGGAGTGTGGGCCACCCCGTGTGCGTGGGTTTGGAGACCTCTGTGCTGTGGGCCAGGGGACACATCTCACATCACAGTGTCGCCTGGCACCTGACCACAGAACTTGGGACCCTTGCCCACACAGCTGGGGCTGCGCCAGACCGAGGCCAGGGGCAGGGCACTCAGCCGTCTCCCAGACCGAGGCCAGGGGCAGGGCACTCAGCTGTCTCCCAGACGAGCTAGACTGAAGCTGGGTGCTGTCCTACAGTGTGTGTGTCCCCACCAGTGCCAGCGACTGCCCACATGGCTCCTATAAGGCCCCTTCCCCTTGGGAGGCTGCGCCTCATGGCGCAGTCACCCTGAGGGCCTTCCTGCCAACCTGTCTCGTTGTCTGGGCTTCAGCCCAGCAGCCAGGCGGTGGCACGCACAGAGCTGTCTGCGTGAGTACTGTAACGTGAAATACAGGGATGCATTTCCACATGTCTGTGTGCACCGTCCTCGCTTTTCCCTGTGGTCCCTCCCCTGGGGGGCATCCTTGGGTTGTTTGGTGCCTTGTGCCAACCCCTTGTGCAGCTCTCTGCTCAGGCCCTCTTCCAGGACACACTTGTCCACACATGGCATGAGGCGTCCTCTCGTAGAGAGTGTGGTACAGTCTTGCTGAGTTCAATCAGAGCAATATAGTTCCTGATCAGCAGTGGGAATGCTGCTGTTGGGGATCTGAAAAATCTGACTTGATGGCTTCAAAATGCCGCCGACTTTCAAACGATGAAGCCCAGCAAACACCAGGCCCTTGTTTCGTGTCAGGCATGTCTAGACGGATTGGGCCGTTCAGGGTGGCATGGCCATGGGCAGTGCTAAGCGTGTCTAGATGGGATGGGGTACATTCAGGGTGGTATGGCCATCGATGGCGGCAAGCGCAGTTAGCTCCCAGGGCTCAGGGCAGGGCAGCATGGCTACTTTCTGTCTGACCAGTTGAGGAGGACCCTCGCTTGGGGAAGTTGGGCTGGGCTGTACCCTTGCTTTGGCCATATAGTGTGCAGCTTGGGTCCTTGGGTTCTTGATTGGTGTTACCTGCTACAGTTCCTGTTAGGGCCAGCCCCGCCCTGATGCCTTCCAGCTCTCTGGTGGCGCTGTTCATCCTCTGTGTTGCCACAGGGAGCTCTCACAGTGACACATGGTCCTCTGCAGGAACCGCGTGGAGCAGGTGTAACACTGTGCTGTGCACGGCCCCTGCCCGACAGTGACTGCTGAGGTCTGCTCTCCCAGGCGCCTCTTACACGTGTCACCTAACCCCCATAACTGCTGAGAGGGGGTCTCGGGGGGAGGTTGTGTGGATGACAGTCTGCAGCTGGTTGGGCTTCCCTTGGCCACGTGAGAGTCACACCTTTCCACAGGCGGTCAGAGCCTTGGAGTCGGCCTGGTGGGGTCAGGCCTGGAGCACCTGGGCTTGTGGGCCTGAGTCTAGATGCTGGCTGAGTGCCATGCCACCCCAACCCTCCCGGGCTGCCCAGAAAAGCTGACCAGCCACCCACTTGGTCACAGCTGGGTGAGGCAGTGCTTGGTGTCCAGGGAATTAACAGCGAGGGGCCCTGCCTGTTGCCACTGGAGGTCTGGCGTGTAGGGCGGTGCCCCAGGACCTGGAGGAAGCCAGCCGAGTGCGGGAGCAGCTCCCAGCCCACAGGTTCGCGCTGAGCTTGTGGTGTGTCTTTGCTCTAGAGCGACAGTCCGAGCTTCAGAGAACATGAATACACTGAGTTTGGGAAGTGGATGGATGGCTGGGAGACCAGGAGGAAGAGGGTTCCAGGTAAGCCAGTGGCCTTGGCTGCTCAGCACGGCCAGGCAGGAGGCCGCTGTCCCTCGGAATGCTGCTTCCCGTCTGAGTCCCAGGCTGGGAGAAGGCGGAAGCAATGATTGAGTTCTGGCCACTGAGGGGTCATTTGCGAAAGAGGTGGAGACTGCTGGGAAATGACAGTCTAGGCATGTTGCTGAGCCACGTGGCAGACAGCTGCCGTCTGCAGCACACTACCACTTCCCTCTAACTGCTGTGGACACAGCTTCCTAGCCCGGGTCACACAGCTGGCAAGGTAGTTAGGCCCGGGGCCACGACCTGTCCCACTCCACTGCACGCAGTCTCGGTGAGGTCGCCTCCAAGCGCTCTTTACCGATGACTGCTGTATTGATGAACTGACTTGTCTTCACCATGATATACTTTTTGTAGTTTAAAAAATTCCTAAAACTGTGGATTACTCTAGTCATGATGATGATCATTGCACTTCTGTTTCTTATGAGCAGAATAGATACCCCCGCCACCCCTTTTCTTTTTGTGTCTGTGGCACTTGAGGCAGGCTCTGACTTTTGATGAACTTGGACATTTGAAGGCTGTTTGTGCCTGGCAGGCTCGGGCCAGCAGGCTGCAGGAGGCTGCTGGAGACTGAGATGGCCATGGCCAGGCAGCGTGCAGAGACAGGCTGGCCACGGCATGGGCAGCTGCCTGCTTGCTGATAGCACCCCCGGGTACAGCTGAGGAGACTAGGCTCAGGGACCCGGAGCCGGGCAGGGCTGGGCAGAAGCAGTGCCCAGTGGGCACCCAGAATCGGGTCTCCAGGGATCCAAGGCATGGCGACTCACACGGAGGCCGGTGGGTCACACGCGGCTCGGGTGGGAGACACCTGAAAGGCTAGTTCTGTTCAGCCGCTCACCTTGGCGGTTGCCTCCCCCCCGTGTGTTCCCAGGTTATGACTGGTGTGTCATCCGGCTGGGCATACAAGGAGTGATCCGCGGCTTTGACGTGGACATCTCTTACTTCGCGGGAAATCACGCACCTCGAATGTCCATTCAAGCAGCAAACCTGGAAGAAGGTGCTCTGGGGCCCCCTGAGGCCCTGACGGAGCATGGTGGCTGCAGGAGGCTGGGGGGCCCTGCCAGATCTGTGCCAGTCCTTGGCTTGTCTGAGCCCCTGCATGACACAGGCCCTGGAGCAGGGTCCCTACAGGGGACCAGCTTCCTGATTTGCAGGCCTACTCTGCTCCTGGGCTCAGTGTGCAGCCTCTCCCTGTACAGTGCCAGAGCCTCACTGGGGCAGGGCCTGTGATCCCAGGACACTGAGGGGTGCCGTTGGTGACCTGGGTGATGTGGAGTCAAAGCTGCATTTGAAGTGGGCAGCTGTGTGGGTTCAGCACATCCAGCCCTGTTTGGGGTGACCCTGGTGAGCGTGGTGGTGCCTCTGGGGTGCTGGCTGCGTAGGTTCATTCCCTTACTCGGCAGAACCCGGCAGAGCTCAGCAGGTGGGGCTGCGGGCGATGCTTCCTTGCAGGCAGGAAATGAGCTCAGGAACTGAGCAAGATGACTGGAGCCCGTTCTAGCCTGTGAGACCGGGTTTCCAGGACACACCATTAATTCAGAGGGCACAAAGGGGCCAGGGAGTGTTTCTGGGATGGATCTTGAAATTATCCAACTTCGTTGATTCATGATTTGCAAACTTCAGGGATGAGATACATTTGATTTTGACCTGCTCTGCCTAGCTGCTACAATAGGCAGATGTAGTGTTTCATGGTCATCCCCGTGTTTGGAGGTAAGCACTCGTACCTGAGGCATGCAGAGGTGTGTGTGTGCGCGTGTACGGGTGTGTGTGCATGTTTGTGTGTACATGTGCGCATGTGTGTACGTGCTTGTGTGTACACGTGCACGTGTGCTTGTACATGTGTGCGCACATGTGTGGGCATGTGCACACTCGCATGTACATGTGCATATATGCATTTGTATGTGTGTACATATGTGCACACATGTGTGTCTGTGTACGGGTATGTGCGTGTACAGGTGTGTGCATGCTTGTGTGCACATGCGCGTGTGTGTTTGTGTGTACATATGTGCACATGTATGTACAGGTGTGCATGCTTGTGTGTACATGTGCATGTGATGCACGTGTTTGTACGTGTGTACATGTGTGCACACATGGGTGTCTGTGTACGGGTGTGTGCGTGCTTGTGTGTACATGTGTGTGTTTGTGTGTACATGTGTGTGCACGTGTGCGTGTACGGGTGTGTGCGTGCGTGCGTGAGATGCTCACCATCTGATGCTCCATTGAAGACACAGTGTCTGCAGTGTCATGTGGTAAGTCACAGAATGTATGAGAGGCTTCACAAGGTTTGTGGCAAATGCAGTTTAAAGACTTTGATTTACAAGCGCTCTGTTCTCCACAATGCACACTTCCTTGACCTTTGTGCAATGCCCTCCTCGTTCACCGGTGCCGAAGCCTAACCTCGTCACGTGTGGCCTCTCTGACTTCAGAAAAGCTACCGGAAATCCCCCCGAGAGGCGTCAGGACGGGATGCGCGGCCTCGCCCGAGGAGTTGGAGGCCATTGCCGCGGTACGCTCCGGTTGCTGGGGGAGAGGCGGTCGGCTGGGACCTGTCTGGGAACTGCAGATGCCCCATTAGTGGTTCTTTCAACAGCCCCTGAGTTCCTGCCACTCTTCCCAGAGGGTGTTTTTGGGCCCCCTGAGAACTTGCTAGTCTCTGACAAGCTTCTTGTGGAAGTTGATAGTAAGCATAGTAAGCACCTCAGCACGGTACACAGCAAAGTGAATTGACAGTTTGTGATGATTTAATCATAACCAACGGGGTTTTTGTTTCGATGCTGAGACATTACTGCAACTTGTCTAGTGGTTGTTGGTGCCTTACACCACAGGACAGTGAGCAGGACAGCAGAAGTAGCAACAGGCCTGGTGTTTGAGAGACACACGTGCAAGGGCGAGTTGTGGGAAGGTTCGGACTGTTTCTCTGGCTCTCCCAGTCCATGCATACTGAGATTTCTCTTTTCTTCTTTCCTTCCTTCCTTTCTAGATTGTTTGTTTCTGAGAAGGTCAGAGTTATGGAGACGGTGGTAGAGCTGTTTGCTCCGCTGACTCCTCTGCATATGGCCACAGTGGGCGGGGCTGGGTCTACTCGAGTTAGGAGCTTCATCTGTGTGTCCCTGCGTGGCAGGTGGCAGGTGCTCAGCCCGTCTTGTCCTGCTTCCCAGGCTGTTTGCAGGGAGTGAGACTGGAACACCCAGCACCCATTGGGATGGTGGGGTCACGGGCAGCACATACAACGCTGCTCCCTTTGTAAATGTTAATTTTTTAAAAAAGATTTATCTATTTTTGTTGCAAAGTCAGATATACAGAGAGGAGGAGAGACAGAGAGGAAGATCTTCTGTCCAATGATTCATTCCCCATGTGACCGCAATGGCTGATACTGTGCCGATCTGGAGCCAGGAGCCAGGAACTTCCTCCAGGTCTCCCACACGGGTGCAAGGCTCTGGGCCAAGGCTTTCGGCTGTCCTTGACTGCTTTCCCAGGTCACAGCAGTAAGCTGGATGGGAAGTGGAGCTGCCGGGATTAGAACCGGCGCCCATATGGGGTCCTGGCGTGTTCAAAGCGAGGACTTTAGCCACCAGGCCACCATGCCGGGTCCGTAAATGTTAATTTGATTTTGTTTGCACCAGTGTTTATCCACCGGCTCCCTTTGGTGAAGGTATCTGAGATCTTCAGGTAAAGTTCCCAGCACAATCAAGCAGTAGTTATCGTGCCCAATGTGAGAGACAGCAGAGAACAGGCCTTTGTTCTGGAGTGACACAGGGCTAGGCCTTCATTAGTTCACTATTGAGACGTACTGCTGGGCTCCATCGTTGTCTTCCTTCCAAGTAGCTGTGCCCCTAAGCCTCCCGAGGCTGCCATGAGAGAGCCAGGCTGACATTGCATGTCTCTTCCCAGCTGAAATCCAACAACTGGAGTCACCTGGTCGCCATGACAGAGCTCAAGACAGGAAGCCCTAGTTGCAGCCATAACTACTTTCTCATCAATTCCCAGCAGAAGTGGACCCACGTGCGGCTCAACATCTTCCCAGGTCTGCACCTCCTTTGCTCCGCCTTTGCAGTAGAGAATGGTAATGGATTCTGGTAGCATTACTGGACTGTCATCCTGTGCTCCAGGAACTGTCTCATTCAGCGCACTCACCAGCAGCTAAGCCCTGGTGTGCTGGCTCCACACTGTGCAGGAGTGCTAACTCCCCCACGATCTCTGTTCCACAGGTGTGTGACGATAGCAGGTGAACCGTATGTACAAATGGCTCTCATTGTCCACCTGGAAGAGCATGTCAGCTGTGACTGGAGACAATTTTGTTTCTTCCTTTTCAACCTGGATGCCCTGCTTCCACCTCCCATCCCGACTGCCCTGGTCAGGGTCTTTGGGTGTGACCGAAGCCCTCTCCTCACTGTTAATCGTGTGCAAAAAGCATCCAAGTTGTCACGTGTGGGTGAGATGGATGCTTTGGGTTTCCCAGAGATGCTCTTCATCAGGCTAAGAAAGCTCCCTTTGCTTTGTTGAGTGCTTTCCTCATGCAAGTGTTCTGGAGAGCGAGTCCAACGCCTTTCCTGTGTCTACTGGGGTGTTCACTTCAGTCCTGCTGATACAGATGCTGAACCACTGTGCACTTCTGGGATAAATCCCACTTAGTTATGGTGTACAACTTGAAAATAGGTTACTGGATTTGGTGTGCTAGTTTTTTTTTTTTTTGGATGATTTATTTATTTGAAAGAAAGGTAGAGTTACAGAGAAGAGAGGGACACACACACACACACACACACACACACACACTCACTGTTCCATCTACAGCTCACTTCCCATAGACCACATTGGGAGCGGCTGGGTCAAGCCGAAGCCAGGTGCCAGAAGCTTCATCTTGTTTCCTGTATAGGTGCAGGAGCCCAAGGACTTGGGACCATCTCGTGCTATTTTCTTGGTGCTTTAGCGGGGCGCTGGGTCTGAAGTGGGCAGCAGGGAATGGAACGGATGCTCTTATGGGATGCTGAAGCTTCAGGGGGCAGCTGAACACGCTGTGCTGCACTGCTGGTCTGGTTTTACTGAGGATTCCATGTCCGCAATCCCATGAGAGCTGCTGGTGTGTGGTTTTCTCATGTCTGTGCCTGGCATTGGGACCAGGGTAAAACGGACTTCATGGTATGAGTTGGGATGTGTTCTCTTATTTCTGGGAAAGGCTTTGTGAGGAACCAGTGTTTAAATTTGTTTTCTAACTCTGGCTACTTACTTGACATGAGTATATTCAGGTTGTCTATTTCTTCTGGAGTCAGTTGTCCATCTAATCCAAGTGATCTGCCTGGTTGCCCTGTCCTTGTCTACACTGCTGCTTTACAATGTGTCCAAGTGATCTGCCTGGTTGCCCTGTCCTTGTCTACACTGCTGCTTTACAATGTGTCCAAGTGATCTGCCTGGTTGCCCTGTCCTTGTCTACACTGCTGCTTTACAATGTGTCCAAGTTCTGTAAGGTGGGAGTGATGTTTCTGCTTTCACGTTCTATTTCAGTCATTTGAGTCTTGTTGGTCTTTGTGCATCTCTGTCAATGCTTTCACTGAAGGTTTGTCAATTCTGCTTCTCTTTCCAAAGGTTCCTTTGCTTTCCCCCCCCAGTTTTATTGGCGGTCACTCAGCTCTCTCTCAGCTGCTGCGTCCGCATGCTGCTTTTGTTCCTGCATCCCAAGGCGGGAAGTGACTATTTTTCAGACAGATGTCTGCGGCTGTACATTTTTCTTTGAGTGCTGCTTTCTGCTTCCTGGAAGTTTTGGTAGGTTGTATATTCATTTTCTCTCATTCCCAATTATTTTTTATATATATATCAAAGATTTATTTTTTTGGAAAGGCAGATTTGCAGAGAGGAGATACAGAGAAAAAGATCTGCTATTAGTTCATTCCCCAAGTGGCCACAATGGCTGGAGCTGAGCTGATCCAAAGCCAGGAGCCAGGAGCTCCTTCTGGGTCTCCCACATGGGTGCAGGGTCCCAGCTGAATGGGAAGCGGAGCAGCTGAGACACAAGCTGGTGCCCATGTGGGATCCTGGAAGATGCAAGGTGAGGGTTTAGCCACCAGGTTATTGTGCTGGGCCTCAATTATTTTATATTTGTTTTTTTCTTTTACCCAGTAACTGCTTAGCAGTGCATAATTTAAAAACATTTTTAAGTTTCCAGATTTCTTCCTGTTTTCAAATCGTGAGCATCCAATTTGTTTTCTGGTTTTATATTCTAAGGGATTTAAAAAATGCATAGAAAATTCATATAATGAAAAAAAAACTGTTCATGGATTTCAGAGTTTTTACACCAAAGTAAACTTATCATAATAATTTTAAACTTAAAATGTTAGCCTGTGTATTACCTCTAGCTCCCTCCATTTCCGTGGATTTGCAGAAACACCTGGAGTCGTCCCGGCTCACCGCAGCTTGGCTGCACTGGCCCCTTGTGCTCCGATCGGTGAATGTGTTCCTTGCGGATCACCTTGTTTTTGAACATTGAGACGTTTACAAATTGCTGCTGTTGTTTTGTTTCTTCATGCAGTGGTAAGTGACACTCAATGTCACTTGCTCTCAGTCTTAAGAACTTAAGTATGGAGAACAGGTGTGCTAACACTGAATTCTCCTCACTGTTGTAGAATCTGGAATATCTTTTCCTTTTAGTTCCAATTTTGAAACAAATATTTGCTTTTTTGTTTTTTGTGGACTCCCCCCAACTTTGACCATCAGGCCACTGCTCTCGTTGTTCGTTCTGAGTCGGTGTTGATCCGGAGAGGGGTCCTTTGTTTTCTCACACTATCAAGGGTCTTGCCTTGGGGTCCTGCAATGCTGGCATCCCATATGGGCACCAGTTTGTGTCCCAGCTTCTCCACTTCTGGTCCAGCTCTCTGCTTATGATCTGGAAAGGCAATGGAGGAAGGCCCAAGTCCTTGGGATCCTGCACTCATGTGGGAGACCCAGAAGGAGCTCCTGGCTCCTGGCTCCTGGCTTTCGATTGGCTCAGCTCTGGCTGTTCATCTGCTGATTCACTCCCTAAATGGCCACAATGGCTGGAGCTGGGCCAGGTCAAAGTAGGAGCCTGGAGATGCCCCACATGCAGGCATCCAAAGCCTTGGACCACTTTCCCAGGTGCATTAGCAGGGAGCTGGATCAGAAGTGGAGTAGCTGGAACTTGAACTTGTGTCCATATGGGTATGGGTATTGCAGGTGGAAGCATAAGCCATCATGCCACAGCACTGAGCCCATGACATGTAGTTTCTTTCTTTTTTTTTTTTTTAAAGATGTACTTATTTTTATTACAAAGTCAGATATACAGAGAGGAGGAGAGACAGAGAGGAAGATCTTCCGTCCGATGATTCACTCCCCAAGTGAGTGCAAAGTCTGATGCTGCGCTGATCCAAAGCCAGGAACCAGGAACCTCTTCTGGGTCTCCCACACAGGTGTAGGGTCCCAAAGCTTTGTGCTGTCCTTGACTGCTTTCCCAGGCCACAAGCAGGGAGCTGGATGGGAAGCAGAGCTGCTGGGATTAGAACTGGCGCCCATATGGGATCCTGGTGCATTTAAGGTGAGGACTTTTAGCCACTAGGCCACGCCGCCAGGCCCAGACTTGTAGTTTCATGGTGGAAGTGCCACTTGGCCGGACTGCTGGGGAGGGGTTCTTAGTCACTCAACACCAACTCCCTATTTGCATGCAGTGGCATCTTTGATGGCTCTAGGAGGATTCTCCCTGGGATCTGGTGACAAGGGAAAGGAAGTCACAGTAAACCAGGGCGATATCCGCAGGACAATGTGATCGAGATGCCCTTGGGAGATGGGAGGTCCCTTTCTCAGTGTTGGTTAAAATGAAGGCTTCAGACTAACTGGGCAAGATTTTAATCAGGAGCAATCCTAACAACCTCTTAACAGGAGGTCATATGCACAGAGCAGGGGGGACCCCAGAGTGAAGCAGGCAGACAGGAGGAGGCTTGTATCCCAACCATGAAGACTCCTAGATCCTCACCAAGGACTATCAGTACGAGCTCCAAGGACTACATCCCAGCCCCAAGGAGACCACGGGGAATTGGAGTGCCTTCGGAGGCCGAGAGCTCTGAGGTCACACACCTCCATTTGGATCTACCACATGGGATAGAAGAAGCCCAAATCCTGCCTTGCAGGATCCAAAGTCATCGGAACGACAACCAGGAGCACTGAGTGGTCCACAGAAACAGAACAGTAAACTTCCTTCGGGACTAGGGAGAGGAGCTTTCTCTGATTCTTGCCTGGTTCCAACTTTGGGTCCCCACTCTCTTTTGTAATGACCATCAGGATCGCTCCAGAAACCCCTCAAAACAAACTATCAAATAAATAAACAAACAAAAAACTGGAATAGATAGAGAACAGCAAGGAAAGCTTAGAAACAGGAAACGGGCAGTGGGGATGCACTTATAACTCACTGGGTGGGACACAAAGATTAGTTACTCCTCACTGGGGTATTGAAGATTTCTCTGCACACCCCTCCTAAAACTGTTCACCTAAACTGTTGACATATGTCTTGTTAGAATTATAGACTACCCAAAAAACAGCCAGGTTCAGCAATAAACTGCTAAATACTAAAATTAAAATAGACATGAGACAGCTGAATAGTAATCTATAGCCATTTTAAGGTGTATAGAACCCGGTTGTATATAAACTGACAATTGAAATGTCAATGTAGAAGTCACAGGATGTGGTTCAGAACTTGCATTCTTTCTTTTTTTCTCTTTTAACATGTTGGTTACTCAATACCATGTCAACTAATTCCATTACATTATAAATTGTTACTGATGTAATGTCGGGGCTTTTAATTGATTGGGATGATACTCTGTCGGCTCTACCTTCAGACCAGAGATGGTCTCCCCAAGAAACCATTGAACTTATCTGGACAATAAGATGCTGGACTCTATGCTTTGTAGATGCTTACAATGAAAGAATCTCAAATGATTTTGAACTGTGGTAATGCAACAAGATGGAGGAATCCACCATGGGGTTGGGGAAGGGTGGGGGGACTCCCAGTGCCTATAAAACTGTGTCTCATAATGCAATGTAATCAATTAAAAAAATACTTCTGAATCTCCCTAAGTGATTAAATGTAGGGTTAACATGTGATCAGTTACATTCCTTGGATATAGAAAAATAAATGCAGATATGTCTGCAAAAACTGAAAAAAACCCCATGAAATCAGGATCATAAAATATCATGTACCATGAGAGCGACAGTAAGGATGAGTGAGTCAGGTTAGTGCACAGCTCAGAAGACAGTCATGTCAAGCTCTCCTCTTCAGAATAGTTTCCAGGGATTTCTGTGGCTGAAACACGGCTTTATTTGCAACAAATAACAAACAAATAACAGGATTTTCATCGTTCTAGGAGAACGTGATTGCTCAGATTCATTAAGGTTTCACTTGAACACATAACGGCTTTAGCTTGCGTAGAATAGTCTGATTAAATGGTCCCGAGATTCTGTGTTAGAACATTTGTGGCTCTCACTGCCTGTCCCCTGGCAGTGGTGCTCGCACAGAGCGCTCAGCTTCCTTGAGTCTGACATGGGGTGCTGATGTTGGACGCCACCTGCTCAGTCGTCAGTGTGAGCATTGCGCTTTGTACGCTCAGTGCAAAGTTCTCGGTGAGTCCATGTCAGAGTTGGCAACGCTCATTGTGACATCAGTAATTTGTCTATGGCAAATTTTCCATTTTCTGTGTTTATTTTAAAAAATGGACTGGCTATGACGCTATGATGTACTGGAGCCTGTTCTAGGGTTAGATGCAGGAGGTGTGAGTGAGACTGGTGACTGGCCTTCCAGGATTTTACATTCTGAGCATGGGAGGGTCTATAGAGTGACAGTAAGGCGGGCGTCTGGTGCAGTGGTTAACTTGCTGCTTGGGGTACCTGCATCCCACATTGGATTCCTGGCTCCTCTGCTTCTGCTCCTGCTGCTGTGCACCTGGGAGGGACGGGACGATGGCTGAAGTGTCCTAGCATGCAGTCCCTACCACACACGTGCTAGTGGGATGAGCTCAGGCTCCTGGCCTCGGCTGACCCAGGCCTGGCTGATGGGGGCATCTGAAGAGTGACCCAGTGGATGGAACATTTCTGTTTCTCTTTCAAATAATAATAATAAAAAGATTAAAAAGCAGTTTTAGGCTGTGATTAGAGCTATGAACAAAACAGCAGATAAGACAAAATCCTCACATGGGAGTTGAGCAGGGATCGGGTAGAGAGGGGAACAGATAGGGCAACTTTAATAGGGGAATTCTGGGACCACGACACTTAAGATCTAAGCATGGCTGTGTCTCCTGGAGAGCTGAGAAAATTGTTCTGATCCAAGGCAACGTTTCGCACTAAGGCCCCAGGGCAGTGATCTTGCCCATGGAAGTGAAGTACAAGCAGGTGTGGATGAGGCTATGCCTGAAAAGGGCTCGGAGAAGACCACAGTGTTCCAGAACTTAGGGTATACAAATACCCTCTGCCCCCAGTGGTAGCCAAGGCTCCCTTCCTTTGCAGATGGTGGAGTTGCACGCCTTAGAGTGTATGGGACTGGACAGAGAGACTGGACGGCAATAGATTCCCAGGAACCTGTTGACCTGGTGGCCATCGCCTTTGGGGGTGTCTGCGTAGGGTTCAGCAATGCACACCGTGGGCACCCCAACAACGTGATAGGTAAGACAGAATTCCAGGAGTAGGCTTGTGCTCAGGAAACTGGTGTCCGAGGTGTTGCAGAGACTGAGACACAAGTGTAGGATGGAGGAGTCTTTGTTGTTCAAGCTTGGAGAGAGCAGCTCCTGCTGCCCTCCAGGAGCCAGGGCACTGCTTGGCCCAAGTCAGGGTGTTTAAGCTCTCATCCTGCACTCAGCTTGAGAGGTGTGCAGTACTAAGTTTCCGCACAATACAAAACATTCAGTTACCTTTTGTATCAGAAGGCAGGAAGGGAACTGCCAGAGGCCAAAGTTTCCTTGTAGTTCGTTAACCTAAGTAGACGCTGGGGAGCCAGGTGCGTGTGCACAGAGCCCCCCAGAGATGTTTCCACATTGTCCATGCTGTCAATGAACCCAGCATGCTTGTTCACTGCTATGGGGTGCTAGCTATAAACCGCTGCACTGCATTTCAAAGGGAGCATCAGTACCCATCAGTGGCCACGAGGCTCTGGAGGAAGGGGCAGGACAGGGCACTCTTGCATGCCTGGCTGCCCTTGTGTGGTGAAGGGAGCCAGCAGCAGCCACTTCCCTCCCTGATTTCTGTCCAAGCTGTTTCTGTAGGAGAGAGAGAGCAGCCCTCCAGCCCTGGGATGTGGGTGTCTGTGAAGTTCCTGCAATCTGAGGGAAGGAGCTCCTGCAACAAGGTTCAAGTGTGTGAGACTCCCAGGGGTCCATCACACAGGAGGTAAAGCCACAGACCTGCTCTTCAATGCTGTTATTTTCCACAGGAGTTGGCAGGGCAAAGTCCATGGCTGACGGCTGGGAGACGGCAAGGAGGCTGGACCGGCCCCCAGTGTTAGAAGTAAGGCACCTCGTCCTTCCTCCTCACATCCAGGAAGCTTCTCTGTATGACCAGCTCCTCACAGGGCTCTAACTGCCCGTCCCTGCCTTCGTGTTTCCCACGGCTTCCCTCACCTTCCCGGCCAAGGCCCCAGACGACGGTTGCTGCTGGCTGTTCCATGGTGGTTTTGGGCATTCTTGTATTTTTTTTTTCACTAAAGGAGCTAAAGGGATCCACAGCTTTAATGACATAAAAGCTAGGAACAAATGTGCTGGCAGAACTGGAGAAAAAATCTAAGCAATGTTCCCCATCTGTGTGCCCCAGGACGAGGCCGCAATGGAAACCTGCGACAGAAAGAAGGGCAGAGTCCACTCCGGTGTGTGACGTAGCCAGAAATCCGCCCGAGATAAACAGAAATGAAAGACAAACACACCTGTCGATTTTGTGGAGAATCCCACTCCAAACCTGGCTGGACTCACTCCTTCTCCTTTCCTGGGTGGGATTCTCGTCACTGCAGTAAACTCTGCCATTTAGAGCTAAGGGTTGTGGGCAGATCAAGGGAACACCCAGTGGGCATCTGTGGGTGCGCTGGGGGACGACCCTCCGGATGTAACATCTGCACAAACCTCTGACATGTGGAGATGCAGTGTGTGTATTCAAATCAGGCACCCGGAGCAATGTACCCAGTGCCCAGCGGGCACGGGCATGGGAAGGGACAGCAGAGAGGCCACTGGAGACATGCTTCAGCAAGAAGGAAGACGAGCAGCCCAGTCCAACCCAGCGTGTCAACCCTTCCACCTGCTTGTCTTCGGAATCAAGTCCCTGAATGGCCTCTAGTTTCTCTCTTTTTGTTTTAATTTTAGAATGATGAAAATGGCATTCTCCTGATTCCAGGTTGTGAATGGGCAGTTTTCCGACTGGCACACCCGGGAGTAATAACTCAGATTGAAGTAGACACGAAATATTTTAAGGGTGAGTGTAAAGCCATGAGCATGCCTACTGACTTGTGTGCTTGATTCATGGACGCTGGGTCCCGTGGGGCTGAGCATGGTCTGTGCAGGGGCCACTCTTAGCTGTGTCCTTGTGAACAAGTTGCCTGAGCTTCAGAGTTGGGCTGGAAGAGGCCGAGTGCTCTGAGATCCAAGGATGCGCTGGGTCACTCTGCCCTGGGTCTCTCTGCTCTGCCCTGGGTCACTCTGCGCTGGGTCACTCTGCCCTGGGTCACTCTGCCCTGGGTCACTCTGCGCTGGGTCACTCTGCCCTGGGTCACTCTGCGCTGGGTCACACTGCGCTGTGTCACTCTGCCCTGGGTCACTCTGCCCTGGGTCACTCTGCCCTGGGTCACTCTGCCCTGGGTCACTCTGCGCTGGGTCACTCTGCCCTGGGTCACTCTGCCCTGGGTCACACTGCCCTGGGTCACTCTGCCCTGGGTCACTCTGCCCTGGGTCACACTGCGCTGGGTCACTCTGCCCTGGGTCACACTGCCCTGGGTCACTCTGTGCTGGGTCACTCTGCCCTGGGTCACTCTGCCCTGGGTCACACTGCGCTGTGTCACTCTGCGCTGGGTCACTCTGCCCTGGGTCACTCTGCCCTGCGTCACTCTGCCCTGGGTCACTCTGCCATGGGTCTCTCTGCCCTGGGTCACTCTGCCCTGGGTCACTCTGCCCTGGGTCACACTGCCCTGGGTCACTCTGGGTCTGAGCCCGTCTTTGGAAGAGACTGGGAGAAACACAGAGCTGTGTGGCACCTGCCCACGGGTGAACAGGTGTGTGGGCACGGGGCACCAGCTCCTCTTGGGCTGCTGATTCTCCGAACTCTGCACTCAGGTTCATTCAAATATGTTGGACAGCGACTTGGTGTTGCACAGTTACTCTTTTTGATGACTGAGTCGGTAACTGTTACAGAGAGACACACGCTGTTGGGACAGGCTTGTCCTCCACAGTGACAGATGAAGACCTGGATTATTTCTGGGCAGTTGTGGTTTTCATTTGAGCTCTAATGGTCTGGTTCTTGCTTTCACCTTTCTGTCTGGGGATGAAGCAGGCACCTTGAAGGCCAGATGACATGATGGCACTGCCCTTTCCCAGGGTGCTTGTGTCCCAGGCTTCTCTTTAACCCTTGGTTCTCTGCATGGATGCTGTAAAATCACTAACCCCACTTCATCCCACACCCCGCTGGTGCTGGATGAGACAGGCACCACTGTCGAGCGCTCAGGATGCCTCTGGCACCATCCAGTGACACTCCCAGGGACCTACTGACATGATGCGATACCGGAAGCAATGACACAGGAAATAGAGCTGAGCATCTGCTCCCAGGCACACACTTGAGAGAACTGGAAGCCCGAGCTCTGCTGCTCTCCCCTGTGCCCTGACAGGCTACCCCGGGACCACTGTTCTGGGAGAGGAGCCCTGGGGGCAGGCAAGCCGTGAGTACCTCAGCACCTCTCCCCTACTCTGAGCGTCAACAGCAGCCCCTCCGTTGCTGCTCTTAGAGGCTGGGGGACCCCGCCCGAGCGGCTCCTCACTGTACTGCACACATGGAGTCCCAGGAGCGGGACAGACTTGGAGCACAGGCCGTCCCGTGGGATGGTGCAGAGCTCTGCCTTGGGTGCCCAGCGCTGGCTAACTCACTGCAGTGAGTTCGCATCCTGCTGCAAACTATGCTGCCACTAGGGCAGTGTTTGCCAGCTTGGTCACAGTGTCAGCAGTCCACAGCAGTCTGCCGCCCAGGAGTGCAGAGGCTGATGGGCCAGCCATGAGTAGGGGAGGCTGGGACTGCACTCGTGCACGCACTCACATCTCTGAGGCCACAGCACCACACTGAGCGACCCCTTCCTCCTCCCGTGTCACTTACCTTTGCCTTTGCTTGGAAACAACTTGCTCTGATCTGATGAAGGGTCAAGTTCCGTGCTGGGCGAGCCCTGAGTGCACTGCCCAGCTGAGCACTCTGCCTGGCAGCCCCGAGTACACAGCCATGCTGAACAGTGCCATGCCTAGTACTGTGTGGAGTGAGCCCCAGGTACACAGCGGTGCTGAGCGTTCTGCCTGGCAGCCCCGAGTACACAGCCATGCCTAGTACTGTGCTGAGCGAGCCCCGGGTGCACAGCCGTGCCTGGCGAGCCCGGGTGCACAGGTGTGCGGTTGCTCCCACAGGCAATTACCCCGACAGTTGCAGAGTGGACGGCTGCGTCCTGACCAGTCAGGAAGAGGAGGACATGATCAAGCAGAAGTGGAACTTTCCGACCCAGAAGTGGAAGCCGCTGCTGCCAGTCACCAAGGTCCGCCGGGGGCAGCAAGGGGCGCTGTGTGGGACAGCGGGGGTGTTTCCTTCAGCCGCACTCCTCAGCAGGCAGGCTGCTTTCCCCGCTAACATCCAGCCGAAAGCCTGCGGGTGCCGAGAACACAGACGTGGCACACAGTCTCTGTGTGGAGGCGACTGGGATGGTGGCTGTCCTGGCAGGAGGACTCTGGGACATTCCAGAGCACCTCTGTGCTCCAGCAGGAGGGGGATCCTGGGCTGGGGTGGCTCCCACCTCCGCCACAGCACAGTGTGCCAGCCTCCCGCAGCCCCCACCAGTGTGTCCATGCCATACACAGTGACCCCATAGCCATGGAGGAACCCGAGTGTTCCCGCCCCTGTCGCCTGCGCATCCCTCCCTCTAGCCTACTGCTAAGGAGCCGCTGTTGGCGTCAGGGGCTCACTCCCTAAACTTCTCCCCTCAAACCCGAGCTGTGGGGCAGTTCTGGGGCAGCTGGGCAGGGCCTCCCGCTGGGGTCCCATCCTACCTTGCCCACGCCTGCCTTTCAGCTGTCGCCCAACCAAAGCCACGTCTTCAGCAGCCTGACCCTGGAGCTGCAGGACGTCATCACGCACGCCCGGCTCTCCATCATGCCCGACGGCGGGGTCAGCCGCCTCCGCCTCCGCGGCTTCCCCAGCTCCATCTGCCTCCTGCGGCCCAGCGAGAAGCCTGCCTTGAGGTTCTCAGTGAAGGGAGGCTTCAGAACCAACCTTTAATCCCACGCGGGGACCCCGGAGTCGGACGCAGGAAGGGCTGTCTGGTTAGTCTGCTTTTCAAGCGTTTGGAACGCGGAGCCTCCCGGTGCCCTAATAAAGTGCTCATCCTGTGGGCTGGCCTCTGCCGGGTGTTGCCACGAAGCAGGTGCTGGGTTTAATGCTGGGGCGGGGAGGGCCGCTCTTGGGGGTCCCTCACTTCAGCACCCTCAGGTACTGTGCCTCCTGTGTATGGCTCCAGCAGCTGCTGCGTGGCCTGTTGTCCATACACCAGGGCACACTACACCTGTGAGCCATTCACTGTCCTGTCTCAAAGATCCTGCCCCCACTGTGCTTCCTCCAGGCTGGAGCTTGCTCTGTGGAGAGGCACCTTCGGGCACCGGGTGGCTCCCGAGCGCTGCCGGTTCTGGCCTACCCCTGCTGGAAAGTGCCCAAGTTGCTCACTGTGAGCTGGAGCTTAGCGTTCAGTGCTCCCTGCCAGTGAGACCAGAAAAGGAAAGGCCACAAGGGTGAAGCACCTTCCAGCTCCTACGAGATTCTCCCGGTCCGGAGAATCTCCACTCACCCCACCCTGTCTGCAGGGGCAGCAGGTGGAGAGGGGCTCGTGGGCCGTGAGCTGAAAGGTGTCACTTCTGGTCCCCCCTCGCTCCCTCACCTGCCCAGACTCTCCACCGCTCCCTCACCGGTCTGGGATCTCAGTTACCTCCGCACCCGTCCACCCCGGGGACTGCCCAGCGCACGCAGGGTCACAATTGCCCCCCAGGTCGCGTCAACACAGGCCGCCCAGCTGGACCGCGCCGCCTCAGCCCCGCGACCCACCGCCCGCTGTCCGCGGCGTCCAGTCCTGTGGGCGACGCAGCCATGGGCTCCCGCGGGCCCTACACGCTGGTGGACACCACGCCCGCCAAGACCATCCTGGTGTACCGTAACGGGGACCAGTTCTACGTGGGCAAGAAGTTCGTGCTGTCGCGGCGCCGCGCCGCCACCTTCGAGGCGCTGCTGGAGCAGCTGACGGAGCAGGTGGACGTGCCGTTCGGCGTGCGGCGCCTCTACACGCCCACGCGCGGCCACCAGGTGCTCGAGCTGGACGCGCTGCAGACTGGCGGCAAGTACGTGGCGGCCGGGCGCGAGCGCTTCAAGAAGCTCGAGTAAGTGTGCCAGATTTGCCCGCGCAGAGGAGTGGGTCTCTCGGGGGGTCTCGGGGAGTGGCGAGCCTCAGGTGCAGGTAGCACTTCTTTCAGGATTTAGTGTGCAGCATTGTTTCAAAACAGCACAAGGATGTTTTGCTGCAAGAACAGACTTTCAAAAATTCTTTCCAATTCATATGTGGTGAGAGGCATGCAGTGTTTCCCCAAAGCATGTTCTGGTAAACCTGGTGTGTTAGCGCCACCGAGGAGGGATGGGTGGCAGGCTTCTGCTGTCGTGCCTGGTACATACCAGTGGATGCCACCCCTGCCTCCTTCCCTCTGCTGGACCCTGTTACATCTATCACAGTTTACTTACGGTGTTTTGGGTGACTGTTTGCCCAAAAAGTTGAGGAAAGGTGGAGAGAGAGCAGTCTCTTCCGGCCTTGCGAGGTTTGTGGCTGTCATCTTCGGAGGATGGAGTGATTGACACACGGGCGGCAGGTGGGGCTCTCTGGGGCCCTGGCCTTGCTTCCTGCGGCTGCCACCTGACGGGTGCCACGTGCCCGTGAAGTTCTGTGCCCGGGCTTTGTTTCTGTGCCCCTTCCTGGTTCCGTGAAGCGTGAGCTCGCCGGCCTGCGAGGGCGCCCTGGCTGCAGGTGGTGTCTGTAATTAGCCTGCCACGGAGCAGCTGAAATGGGCTTTGCTAGACCTTAACATTCCACCCGTGCCCTGAGCAAGTGGGTTGGAAGTGAACCTGGATGGTGGGTGAGTGTTTCGAGTCCCCGCAGGGTGCTGGGGCGAGCGGGTCCTTGGGAGAAGCAGGTGCCAGAGCACTAGCCAACACCCATCCTTGCTGGAGTATTTCCTGCAGTGTTTCCCGGAGCAAGATACTCAAGATGAAAAAGATGACTTTTTCCTATAAACAAAGTGCCATAGGCTAATTAGTGTGTAAGCCTAGAATTAAGTATTTATTTTATGGATAACTCCATCAACAATATTATGTGTGTATATATGTGTGTATATGTATATATGTGTGAGGAAGGGACCCCAAGGAGTTTGAATTATATTAAGAATATTGTCCTAGTCACCTTAGAGCTTATTATTGAGATGCAAGTGTGAAACCACTACTTATTTGTAAAATTTATTTCAGAGGGAGAGAGGGAAAGGGAGAGAGACAGAGAGAGAGAGAGAGAGAGAAACTCCCGTTTGCTGATTTATCCCTCAAATGGCCAAGTCTACGAGCTGGGAACTTAGTCCAGGTCTGCTCTCTGTGTGGCAGGGACCCAAGCACTCGGGCCTGCACCTCGTGCCTCCCAGGGTCCACATGAGCAGGACGTTGGGATTCAGAGCCAGGGCTCAAACACATGCACCCCTGATGCGTTTGGATTGCCAGGCCAAATGCTTGTCCCTGCGAATGCAGTTTAAATGAAATGTGGCTGGTTCTTCTACCCCACCCTCTCCTCCTGTCTGCCCTCCACCCCTCTCCTCCTGTCCCTCCTGCCCCTCTCCTCCTGTCCCCCCTGCCCCTCTCCTCCTGTCTCCCCTGCCCCTCTCCTCCTGTCCCTCCTGCCCCTCTCCTCCTGTCCCTCCTGCCCCTCTCCTCCTGTCTCCCCTGCCCCTCTCCTCCTGTCTCCCCTGCCCCTCTCCTCCTGTCTCCCCTGCCCCTCTCCTCCTGTCTCCCCTGCCCCTCTCCTCCTGTCCCCCCTGCCCCTCTCCTCCTGTCCCTCCTGCCCCTCTCCTCCTGTCTCCCCTGCCCCTCTCCTCCTGTCTCCCCTGCCCCTCTCCTCCTGTCTCCCCTGCCCCTCTCCTCCTGTCTCCCCTGCCCCTCTCCTCCTGTCTCCCCTGCCCCTCTCCTCCTGTCTCCCCTGCCGCCCCTCTCCTCCTGTCTCCCCTGCCCCTCTCCTCCTGTCCCCCCTTCCCCTCTCCTCCTTGTCTCCCCTGCCGCCCCTCTCCTCCTGTCTCCCCTGCCCCTCTCCTCCTGTCTCCCCTGCCCCTCTCCTCCTGTCTCCCCTGCCGCCCCTCTCCTCCTGTCTCCCCTGCCCCTCTCCTCCTGTCCCCCCTTCCCCTCTCCTCCTTGTCTCCCCTGCCACCCACCTGTACTCTAAGATGGTGGATACCAGGAAAAGGAGGAAAGTGAGCGGTGCAAGGGGGTGCTGCTGTCAGAGCTGGACCTTGCTGCAGCCAAGGCCTGCTTTGTGCTTCCCGAGGGATATGGAGCAGATGGGATGGGTTCCCTGAAGACTGGGTTTGCTGTGCAGGAAAGTGGGGTTCCTTGATGTCTCCTCATGCTGTTTTAAGATGTAGGCAAATGTGGTACTGACCAGTGTCTGGCCTTGGCTCCCCCTGCTCCTGCCTCCTCCCGCTTCGTGGTCCAGCTCCTACTTTTGCTGCTCATATCCTGGTCCCCAAGGACACTGAGGCCACCAGGCAGCCTGAGACCTGCCCAGCGGCTCTGGAGGACACATCGAAACTCCCTTTTTATCTGTGTGTTTTAAGGAGTCCAACACTGAGCCAAAAAAATAGTATTTGTGAGTTGTAGGCTCTTGAGTTTTCTGTATTTATTTTTGCTTTTCATTTCCATTGATTGACAATCCGATGTCATATTTGGAATAATGTTCACAAGCAAATATGGAATTTGGGAGTTGAGAGCCAGCTGGCAGTGCTGGTTTGGAGAAATATGAAAAGCAGGAGCAGCTCACACAGGGCGTGCGTGAGCTCGTGGGCACAGGAGGGGAGCTGAACTAGCCAGCAGTCATGCTTTGGTCCAGGCTTACAATTCTCAAATTTTATAACTTTGGTTGGGATTTATAAATTTATGATTTATACTTTGACTGCTGGCAGCATTTTATTAGTAGAGAATTCAAATAATCATACATATTTATAGTTTCTGTTGAAGAAATGGAGGTTTGATTGTTGTAAGGGATTGGTTTTGTTGCTTGCATTTCTTCATGAGAACAGCTTCCTGGGCCTGTCAGGTCCCGTGTGGTGCAGCAAGCACCTGCTCCAGCCACAGTCCCCGCCAGCCCCTGGCTGAGTGTGCTGTTCACCTGCCTGGCCTCCGCAGTGGTCCAGCTTGCAGCTGTAGACTGTATCTAGTCTTTATTTTTCCTTTTACCTATTTAAGTCAAACCTTCTCTGACCACTGCTAAAATCATCACAAACACAACAATTTCAAGAATGTGTTTTTTTTTTAAAGCAGGAGGAAATTTTTAACATTACATATAAATATCAGGGTATTCATCTTTATTATTGAACACATCTGGGCTTATTTGGGGGCACATCAAAAATTGAAGTCCCCAAGTGCTCAGAACTACCTGTGGGAACCACGACCAGTCCAGTCCAGTGATTCTTTTCCAGTTTGTAGTTTTGGCCAAATGGGGACAGGGATGGAACCCTGAGAGAGGATGGGCATTGGGGAGGTGCCGTGTGAGGCAGTGGGTTCGTGCTCTGATCTCAGCCTGTCAAGAATGGGGGGAGCCCACAGCCCCGCTCTTCTGGTGACCTGGCCACTGGCCACTGAAGTAGGCTTCTGTTTGGTTAACAGAGGCACCTGGTGAGGAAACGGCCCTGCACCTGCAGTGCTGCTGCGTGCTCACACACACTCCATCACCTGCTTCCCGTGCAGGGTACCCTGGCTCCGTGCTGGAGAGGATTCCCCCCGGAAAAGGATCAACTTCCCGTCTCAATACTTAGCTTTTGACAGCAGTTTCTCTTTTCTTTTGCAGTTATATTCACATAGTTCCCAGAAAACCTACAAGGATGAGGAAGTTGAAAGAAGTAAGTGTTCACTAACTGCTCGAGATGAGCGGGTGATTTGGGAAACATTTAAATGTTAATACGGAATAAGCAAAGTGTCTCGTAAGACGGTATTGCTCTTGAATGCTGTCCCCAGTGCCGGCTTGTCATGCTCATCAGAGTTAGTCAGGAGTTAGTCCGAGTATTCTAAGACCTGACAACGGAAAATCTCCACTAGCCTTTGGTTTTGGGGCATTTGGAAAGACAGGTGTCAGGAAAAGTTATGTGAAGCTATACAGCATTGAAGATATTTATAACGCTAGATTTAAAGATCTGCACCGAGTTCTCCACATTTGTGAATGTTCTTGAAAGATATTTGAAAGATCTGTAGGATACAAGGAGCCATCATCCACAGCATTTGATCCTTGACAGAAATCAATGTTTAATTGGTTACGAGAGCTGCTTTTTCTGGTAGGCCACGAAAATCACCTGTTGACATCTAGAATTTGTTAGCATGATTTGTAGTCTTTGGCTTTAAGAATGGGCTTCTTATTTTGTGGGGGCTTACCCACGTGAGGTATTTGGGAGGATCTGATCCTCCTGGTTATACCGCCTGGCTGCCCCCAGGTCTCCTCCTGGTTGTACCGCCTGGCTGCCCCCGGGTCTCCTCCTGGTTGTACCGCCTGGCTGCCCCCGGGTCTCCTCCTGGTTGTACCGCCTGGCTGCCCCCGGGTCTCCTCCTGGTTGTACCGCCTGGCTGCCCCCGGGTCTCCTCCTGGTTGTACCGCCTGGCTGCCCCCGGGTCTCCTCCTGGTTGTACCGCCTGGCTGCCCCCGGGTCTCCTCCTGGTTGTACCGCCTGGCTGCCCCCGGGTCTCCTCCTGGTTGTACCGCCTGGCTGCCCCCGGGTCTCCTCTTCCACAAGGTGCAGATGGTAGGTAGCCTTTATTTGGATTATGTGGCAAGGTGTATGCAGAGTTGCAGCATGAAATGGATGCTGGTTCCTGTCCTCCACCCTGTAAAGCTGGGTCCTGCTGTGGCCTTGTCCATCACACAGTGTCCCTGTGGAGGCAGTGTGGGAGCCTCAGGCCTGAGCACAGCCCTTGCCGGCTAGTCCTCCCAGCTGCTTCCCCTGGTCTGTACTGCGGGGCAGCAGTGCTCCCTCCTTACCTGGAATTGTAACTTGTAAATGGCAGAAGGACAGAGTTTCTGATGGTGATTGAGGTGGTCATTAGCTTCCAGGGCTGCCTTACTGAGGACAGGAGCAGTGGTCTGAGGTGGGGCCTGCGCACGGACCTATATTGACCTGTATGATGCTGTAGCTGGTATTATTTTCCTGTGGGACCAGTGCAGTGCGCTGAGCTCAGTGAGTTCTCGCCAAGCTCAGTGCACGCACAGCTCCCTGCTGTCCTCTGCAGTCTTACATTTTTTGCCACACTGTATAAAATGGTGCCTGATGTGCCACTACTAGAGTTCTTGGTCTGCTGGCCGTCAGGTCTGAGGGCTACCTGGACCTGTCTTGGGTGGAACCTGTAGGATGCCACGTTGTTGTAGTTCACTGAGGCAGAAATGAGTTCACTTCCAGCTCAGTGCATGCTCAGTCCTTTCCCTCACCTTTGCCTCCTTAAACAAAATGGTGCCTGATACGACTCTAGGGGGCTGACTGGGCTATGAACTCCATCCGGTTCCCACACCCCCCATCTGGAACCCGCCACTCTGTCTCTGCTTCTGGTCAAATCACACAGACCAGCATGACGGGCAGTTCTTTGTCTGGGTTTACCTCTGGAGCTCCTGGTGAATGTCCCTTCTCACCTTGTTGCTGGTAGAGTTCAGGTTGCCATTCGCTGAATGCAGCTGGGGTGTCAGTCAGCTGGTGTGTCAGTCACTGCCAACACACCATTGTTTCCACGGCTTTCCTGTGTCTGTCAGTCTCCAGGTACCCTCGGCTGTTGTTCTAGCCTCTTTTGTTTCCTGGAATGTGTCCTCTCTGCTTCACACTGGCTAGTATGTCTTGGTCTGTTTAAATGTGTCCTTACCTTATTTTCCTCCATTTTGATTCCCTCGCAGGCTGATTTTTAAGTTGCTAATTTTGCGTGGCTCACAGATGCTGTTATAAACATATCGATGGGAATTGCAAGAGAAAGGGTTCCCCACTCCTGAATTTAATGACTTTGAGTTCCATCCATTTTGCTGCAAATATCGGAATTTGACTCTTCTTCGTAGTAGAGTAGTGTTTCTTTGTGCTTAGCCACCACACTTTCTCTTCCCATGCGTCTGTTGCTGGGTACATCTGGGAGCTGGGCTGGAGAAGGCCAGCTCCAGTCTCACATGTGGATCTCCAGCTTGCCCAGCAGCATTTATTGAAGAGCTTATCTGTTCTTTCTTTATTTTTAAGATTTAATTTTCCATTGGAAAATCTGATTTACAGAGTGAAGGAGTGGCAGAGAGAAAGATCTTCCATTCGCTGGTCCACTCCCCAAGTAGCTGCAAAGGCCGGAGCTGAACTGATCCGAAGCCAGGATCCAGGAGCTTCTTCCAGGTCTCCTACATGGGTATAGGGTCCCAAGGTTTTAGACCATCTTTACTGCTTTCTCAGGCCCTAAGCAGGGAGCTGGAAGGGAAATGGAGCAGCTGGGATTAGAACCGGTACGCATATAGGATCCCATGCCTGCAAGACAAGGACTTTAATCACTAAGCTATTGCACTGGGCCTGAGCCTATCTGTTCTTAAATGTGTGTTTTGGCAGCTTTGTTGAACACCAAATGGCTGTTGATGTATGGATTCATTTCTGTGGCCTCTGCTTTGTTCTGTTGCTCTGTGTGTCTTTTTTGTGCTAGTACCATGTTGTTTTGTTAACTATAGCTCTGTGGTATGTCTTAAAATCAGGTGCTGTGATGCCCCAGGCTTGTCCTTTTTGTCTGAGATTACTTTGGCCACTTTGGATCTTTTGTTGTTTTCTATGAATTTAGAATAGCTTTTTTCCCCTAGTTTTGTGAGGAATATTATTAGCATTTTGAGATAGTCTTTGTTGAATCCGAAAATTATCTTAGATTGGACAATTTTACAATACTAGCTTTTGCAATCTTTGAACAGGAAGTCTTTCCATTTTCTGGGTCTTCAATTTCTTTCATTAATGTGTTATAATATTTATTATGGAGGTCTTTCATATTTTGTTAATTAACCCTATTGTAAGGTGTTTTCATCTCTTGGTAGCTATTGAGGGTATGGTTATTTTTATGATTTCTTTCTCAGCAAGTTCATTACTGGTCATGAAACTGCTATTGACTTGTGTATGTTGATTTTCTGCCAGGCAACTTCACTGTTTGAGTTCTAATAGTCCTTCAGTGGGGTCTTAGGTTTTTAAATTAATATGGAGAACCGTGTAATATGCAGAAAGGAGTGCTTTGCCTTCCTGCATTCCTGTTTGTGTACCCTTTCTCTTTCCTGATTGCTTTGGCCAAAACTTTCAGTGTGTTACTGAGTAAGAGCGGTGAGTGGACACTGTCTGGTTCTAGGTCTGAGAGAAGATGTGTCCAGTGTTGCTGCACTCGGTGTCACATCGCCCATACGCAGCCTTTGTTATGCTGAGGCATCATCCTAATTTGTTTGAGGTTTTTTGCTCAACACGAGTGGGTTTTACTGCAAGCTTTGTCTGTGTTTCTGAGAAAATCAGGTGGTTCTTCTCCTCCATTTTGCTGATATAATGTACTATGTTTACTGCTTTGTGGGTGGTGAACCAGCTCTGCATCCCTGAGATAAATCCCTTGGTGAATGATCTTCTATTCTTTGTTTTTTTTTCAAGCAGTGATATAACAGATTCCTTACAGCAACAGATTTGCTCCCATTCATGACTGTTTATAGAGAAGTGCAGTTATGTAACAGTTTTCGTCCTTTGAATATTGACTTCTGGATTGGATGTTTCCACAATCTCCCACTGTTTCTGTCCATTTATGGGATGTCTGTGACCCCCATGGGGCTGGAGAATTAAGCTGGGAACTGCAGCGTGCTGCACCTGCTCCTTCCCGGGGCCTGCTTCTCCTCTGTGACCTCACTACTGCCTGCAGAGCACTGTGCCAGCACGCTGGCTTCTGGGATGTCCACCTAGTCCAGGGCTGGTGATATTCCTGATGAGATGAACACTTGTTTTCATTGTTTATCTCCCATGAGCTGCCCAGTGCCGAAGTCTGAGCTTTGTGGTCTCATCATGAGTCCCCAGGCTATGGGCTCCATAAACGCCCAGATTTACTTGTTAGAGTTTCCACATCCTCAAGTCACGTGAGGCACTTGGAAGTCCTGTCAGGCTTTGAGTGCTTCATCATGTTTGGCGTTCTTAACTTTCCCTGAGGTTGACATGCGGTTTGTGAGATCTGTGCTCTCATCAGAAGGTGAATATTTACATCTCAGGTCTCCTCTGGGAAGATGGGCATACTGCAACAATGCAAGGTAGTCTTCATAGCTGCCAGTTACAAGATGAAGTGAGAGAGCAGTAAAGGGCAGGTGATATGTGTAAGGTTAAGCTGCAGACTCCTCACAGCTCCAGCCCCAAGGTTCCAGACATGGTTGTCTGTTCTGGCCCTGCCAGTGCTCTCAGTGGACAGTCCTCCGCCTGTTGACATTCTGGACCGCATGGATGCTTACAGCAATGTGTATGTGTGATCAGAAAAGGCTGATAATATCTTGAAACTTGAAGCTCACTGCTAGAGGAGCAAGCAAATGGTTCATAGAGTATCACAATGTGGTCAGACCTACATATATTGACCTGTTGTAGTTTTCGGCATGTGGTTAGGACTACATGAAATAGCCATGAAACTGGCATTTAGCAAGAACCCAATCACCCCGTCCAATTCTGAGATCCATGAAGGCCTTACCAATGTGAACACCAATGTCAGCAGTTTCAAAGGTTAGATACTGCAGAGTGTAAGCTTTTGTCCATTCCCCAAGTCCAATGCTTAAATGTTTTGTTTTATGTTGTGAGAAGTCAGTATGGGGGAGAAACACTTCTGTAAGTTACTGTTTCATAGATTTTTATTAGTGTCAGAATAT